CACCCTTTGTCTTTTGATTGGAACATTTAGTCCATTACGTTTTAAGTAATTATTGACAGGTATAAAATTATTGCCATTTTGTGAATTGTTTTCTCGTTGCTTTGGTAATTCTCTGTTCCTCTCTTCTCTTGTGATTAGATTAGGGTTAGACTTTTAGTGTTTTGTTTGGATTTAAGTGAATCTATTATAGGTTTTTGGTTTGTGGTTACCATCAGGTTCATATAGATCATCCTATGTATAGAACAGTCTATTTTAAGTTAATGGTGACTTAAAATACATTGTAAAAGCATTATATTTTTATTCCTTAGCTCCATATTTTGTTTTTGATGTCCTATTTTCTATATTTTTATTTTGTGTATCCCTTAATTACTGCAAATATAGTTGATTTTTACCAGTTTTGTCTTTTAACCTTCATACTAGCTTGGCAAGTGGCTGATTCACTGCCTTTATTATAGGTTTGTTTTTACCAGTGATTTTTTTTCTTTCATAATTTTCTTCTACTTGTGGTCTTTTATTTTCCACTTAAAAGAAATGCTAAAGGGACCTCTTTTAAGGCCGGGTTAGTGGTGATGAGCTCCTTTAACTCCTGTTTATATGGAAAACAACTTATCTTTCCTTCAATTTTGAAGGATAACCTTTCTGGGTAGAATGTTTTTAATTGTAGGATTTTTCTTATCAGCATTTTGATTTTTTTTTTTTTTTAATATTCTGAGAGAGAAAGACAGAGTGTGAGGAGGGGAGAGGCAGAGAGAGAGAGACACACACACACACACACACACACACAGAAGCAAGCTCCAGGCTCCATGCTGTCAACACAGAGTCCAACGCGGGGCTCAAACCCACAGACCATGAGATCAGGACTTTAGAGAAAGTCAGACGCCTAACCAACAGAGCCACCCAGGCACCCCTCTGTCAGCACTTTGAATCTATTGTGTCATTACCTCTGGCCTATAGGTTTCTGCTGAAAACTTAGCTGATAGTCTCAGTGCATGGGATGGGGCTGTGGGGGGGGGGGGGTGGTTCTAGGAGAAATGTGACTAGTTGCTTTCTTCTTGCTGATTTTAAGATTCTCTCTTTATCTCTTAGTTTTCACGTTTTAATTCTATATCTTGGTGCAGACCTCTTTGTGGTTCTCCGTGCTTTCTGGACCGGAATGTTTCCTTCCCCAGGTTAGGGAAATTTTCAGCTATTTCTTCAAATAAATTTTCTGCCTCCTTTTCAGTCTCTTCTGCTTCTAGTACTCCTGTAATATGAATGTTAGTATGCTAGATGTTATCCCAGAAGTCCCTTAAACTATCCTTACTATATTAAATTCTTTTTTGTTTTTGTTGATCAGCTTGAGTGATCTCCACTACCATCTTCCAGATAGCTGATCTGTTGTTCTGCATCCTCTGATTCCCTTTAGTGTATTTTTCGTTTTATTTAATCTTTAGTTCTGATTGGTTCTTTATATTTTCTATCTCTTTTTCAAAGTTGTCACTGTGTTCACCCACTCTTCTTTTGGGTTTGGTGAGCATCTTTACGATCATTACTTGGAAATTTTTATCAGGTAGATTGCACATGTCTCTTTGATTTAGTCCTTTTTCTTCGTTCTTTTGTTTGGGACACTTTCCTCTCTCTCCTCAGTTTGCCTGACTCTCTGTGTGTGTTTCTATGTATTAGGTAGATCAGCTACATCTCTTAGTCTTGGAAGAGTGGCCTTATATAGAGAGTGTCCTGTGGGGCAAAGAAGCACGATCCCTTCCTCACCCAGCCATCAGAACTAGGCACTCCAGGGCTGGTCCCTGTGTGGCTCAGCCACGCCTGCTGCAGGCACACTGGTGGACAGAGCTGGCCTCTGCTATGGCTATGGGGACACCAGTCCTGGCTGAGGTCACTCAGTAGGAGTGGTCAACAGGACCTGCTTTGGAGAGGCAACTGCCAGGGAGGGTAGGTCAAGTGGTGCTAGCAAAGTAGATGGATAATGTCAGAAACAGCACCCCCTAGTGCTGGGCTAGATAAGAAGGGAAGTAGGAAAAAAGGCACCCAGCAGGCCTTCCCTTCCTGGAGACATTTCCTTCACATACTACTCAGGTGATTTGCAAACTGCTGCCTCTGTGCTGGGTCTCAGAGTGACTTTGGGCTCTTTAAGAGAAAAATCTTGTGGGCACCTGGGTGGCTCAGTTGGTTAAGCCTCCATCTTTGACTCAGGTCACCATCTCACAGTCTGAGTTTGAGCCTCACGTTGGCTCTGTGCTGACAGCTCAGAGCCTGACCCCTGCTTTGGATTCTGTGTCTCCCTCTCTCTCTCTCTGCCCCTCTCCTACTGGCACTATGTCTCTCTCTCAAATATAAATATGTAAAAAAAAAGCAAAATCTTGATATCCTATAGCCCTGTGACTCTCCTAGAGTTTAAGTCTAACAGATTTTCAAAGCCAGGCATTATGGGAGTTTGTCTTCCCAGGGAAGGGGTTCCTCATGTGAATCTTGAATGATCTGCTCCTCAGGCAGGATCACTGCATTTTTTTATATCTGTCCTACTCATGGGCTGCTGCACTAGGGGTGTAAGGTCCTGCCTAGATCGCATCTCTACCCTCCCCCTCCCCCCCCTTGATGTGGCTTTTCTTTATATCTTTAGTTGTGGAAGAGCTGTTCTGCTAGCTTTCAGTTAATTCTCAAAGAGAGTTGTGCTCTATGTATACTTTTGGTGTGTCCAATGGGTAAAGGGAGATAAGGATAATTCTTCCTCTGCTATCTTGATTGTAACTCTTAGAATCCTTCTTTAATGGGAGGCAAAATTTACCAGCTTTTCTTTGTTGGGAGATTTTTTATTACTAACTCAATCTCCTTAGTAATAATGGGTCTGTTCTTATTTTCTATCTCTTCCTGATTCAGTCTTGGTAGGTTATGATTCTAATAATTTATTTTAGTTTGTCCAGTTTGTCGGCAGATAGTTTGTCTCCTTTTCCATTCACAATTTTGACTTGACTCCTTTTGTTCCCTTCCTTAGTCTAGCTAAAGGTTTACCTTTTTGTTTAACAAAACTAAGAGTTGGTTCTTTGAAAAGGTAATCTTTTCTATTGTTTTCCTGTTTTCTATTTCATTTATTTCATTTTTTCCTTCTGCTAACTTTGGGCTTAGTTTATTTTACATTTTCTAATTCATTGAGGTATAGAGTTAGCTTGTGTAGTTGATGTCTTTGTTTATTAATGTGGGCATTTATTGTTATGAACTTCTTAGAAGTTCTTAGTTTGGCTGCATCCCCTAAGTTTTGCTATGTTGTGCTTCCTGTTTTGTGTTTCTCAGTATACTTTTCTATTTCCCTTTTAATTTCTTCTTTGATCCATTGGTGGTTCAGGAGAGTGCTGTTTAACTTACAAATACATGGAAATACTCCACTTGTTCTCCTATTGTTAATTTCTAGCATGTATACCATTTTTCAAATTTATTTTTTATTTTTTTTAACAAGCATACCATTTTGATCAGAGAGATACTCAGTGTGATTTCTATCTTCCTGAAGTTGCTAAGACTTTGTTTCTATTGCCTAACATATTATCTGTCTCAGAAGATGTTCTATGTATACTTGAGAAGAATGTGTATTCTACTATTGTCAGAGAAAATGTTCTGCATATGTCTGTTAGGTCCATTTGGTCTATAGTGTTGCCCACATTGACTCTTTCCTTATTGATTCTCTGGATTATCTAATTATTAAGAATAAGATATTAATAATTTTTATATTATTTGATTCTTTCAGTTCTGCTTTTGCCTTATATATTGAGATGCTCTAATATAGGGTAAATACATATTACAATTGTAACATCCTCCTGTAGGACTGATGCCTTTATATAATGACATTCTTTAAAAATGGCAAAAGAGAAAGTCTTTCTTGTCTCATAGATTTATAGCTACCCCTGCTTTTTAAAAAAATTATCTTTTGCTTGAAATATCTTTTTCCATCCTTTCACTCAGTCTGCATGTCTTTAAGGTTACAGTGAGTCTTTGTAGGCAGAATACCGTTAAATCTTGATTTTTTTTTTTTTATACATTCAGCCATTGTATGTCTTTTGGAGAACTTAATCCATTTACATTTAAAGTAATTATTAATAGGTAAGGACTTAGTATTGCTGTTTTGTTAATAGTTTTCTTTTTTGTAGATCCATTGTTCCTTGCTTCTTATCCTACCCAATTTTGTGTGTTTGATGCCTTTTGGTATCAGTTTGCTTTGACTTGATTATCTTTTTTGTAACCACTACAGGCTTTTTCTTGGGGTTACTATGAGGCTTATATGAAATATCTTAAGTTGTTTTCAATTTATTCTCATTTTAATTTTGAGAGCACTCCCTATGTTTTCAAATTATACTTTTCACCACATGTAGGTTATTGATGTTATAATTTATATATTTTTAATCTATCCAAAATAATTCAAAATATTATACTTATTTTCATTGCCTTTGTTTTTAAGTTTTAAACTAGCGTTGTAAGTGAATTATGTACAGTTACCATATTACAGAATATATATTTGATCATATATTTACCATTACCAGGGAGTTTTATACTACCTTATGCTTTTATGATATAAACCATCCTTTTTCTTCAGTGAAAAAATTCCCTTTAACATTTAAGACCTGTCTAGTCTTAGAACTCTCTCAGCTTTTGTTTAAGAAAGCTCTCTCTCCTTCATTTTTGAGTAATTTCTTGGCCTGGTATAGAATTCCTGGTTTATAATTTCTTTCGAGATTTTGAATATATTATTCCATTCTCTCTTAGCCTGAAACTTTCTGTTGAGTAGTCTTATGGGGGTTCCCTTTAGGTAAATTCTCTTTTCTCTTGCTGCTTCCAAAATTCTTTCTTGGTCTTTGACTTTTGCCAACTTAATTAGAATGTGACTTATTGGCACCCTAGTTGGCTTCAGTCTATTTTGGATCCTTTCACCCTCATGGATTTGGATGTCCATTTCTCTCCCAAAATTTGGGAATTTTCAGCCATTAGTGCCTTAAATATACTTTATCCCTTTCTTCCTCCTGGGATTCCTATGTGGGTATTTTTCTTTTGATTGTGCCCTATTGGCCCTGTATACTTTTTTTTTTTTTTTTTTTGCATGGTCAAGTCTGCTGGTGAAGCTATTTAATTGTTCAGTTCATTCAGTGTATTTTTCACTTCTAGGATTTAATTTTTTATGATTTTTATTTGTTGAACTTGTTCATGCATTGTTTTCCTAATTTTGTTGTCTTCTGTGTTCTGTTAACTGTCAGACACTTCAGAATAATCCTCTTAAGTTTAGTGAACTACAAGATCTCCATTTTTTAGTGTCATTTATTAGCGCTTCATTAGTTGCCCCAGTGGTATCGGTGTTTACATTTTTTAGTGATTTATGTCAGTATCTGCACATTTGAGTAAGTGGTCTCCTCTTCTAGACTGGGCCAGACCACTTGACTTGATTTTCTGCATTTATCAGTTTGTAACATCTTTGAGCAGGTGGCACTTGCTATCAGGGTCTGTTTAGGTGAGGCGTCGAATTAGTGTTTTTGCTTAGATGAGGCCCTTCACAGGTCACAAGTTGGAAAGAGCTCTGGTTAGGGTTGTGTCAGTCTGGAGGCCGCTCTATATTCCTTTGCCTGGGCAGGCTGCAGACTAGTCTTTTGAGGGTGGGAGGAATCAAGTCAGACCTGCACACTCAGCTGTCTGGACAAATGGCTCCACAGATACAAAGCTGCTGGTGATGTTCTCTGTTCAAGTACCATTATAATCAGGGCTGGCGGGCACGCTACCAAGATTAGGGGTTTCAGCTAGCAGGACTGGAGGCTCTATTTAGCAGTGGGCAGAGCTGCAGCTGAGCTTTCCTGCACAAGGAGGTGTAGGCAGCCAAAGAAAAGGTCCCAAGTCTGCTTAGCTCCCCAAGTGAGAGTCTTACCAGACATACCTGTGCCTCAAACTCTCTGGCCAGATAAGCTCACTAGTCTGTCTCCACAGATGGGCAGAGCCACTGGCTGGGCTGTTTGAGCGCTGCCGTGCCATGACATTTCCCAGTTACCAGAACAGGCTTGCTGGTTGGGCAGGGCCAGGAACTGCATTCAGTATTGGTCTGGGCTAAGAATTAGCTGCCTTGCCAGGGTGAGGAGACCAGACTCAGAGTACAGCAAGGATCTTCATCTGAGTTCCCAGATCAGGCAGACCTGCATCCTGCCTCATTCCCTGGTCAAACTGCACCACTGTCTTGGCCGTGCAGATGAGTGAGGCTGCTCCTTGGGACTTCCACCTGGGCATTGCTGGTAGGAGCCATTTGGCCAAGATCTGAATGCTAGTTTTTGCAAGCCCTGCAGATTCTCCCATGATCTCCTTGAGGTGAGACCAAAGTATAAACTCCCCAAAAGGGACCCACTGTCCATGATGGGCTCTCTTTTCTTACGGGACGGCTGTAGGCTTTGGGGAGACCTCCCTATGTGTCCCTCCCTCGGCTGGCATAACACCAATGTGTAACTGCTCCTCTTATCCTTCCAGTGACGTCTGTCTCCAGGTCTTTGGTGCAGAGGTGCTTCACATTCTAGAATGTTTTCATTGATGTCTCATCATGAATGGTTTTCAGTTCTTGTACAGTCAGGAGCTACCTATGTCACCTTCCTGGTGACATCACTCCTACCCCATAATTCATACCTACGCAGCCATTTCTGCTCTTTTTACATATTCGCTATTTCTTCCTGCCATTTACCATCCTGTGTGGCTGGGAGTTTCCTGATGGCAGTCCAGTCTTCTCATTCTTCATGTCTCCTATTACAAGGTTCCGGAACGATAGATGGCTCACTCACTGTTGTTAGAAAGTTGTTTTCTTTCTCCCTCAGAGACCAGGTGCCAGTAAGCAAGTGTAACGTCATTAAAAACTTAGTTAATGCTCTGTTCACACTGAAGTTTTAATCTTCCAAAGACTGTTACCAGGGAAGCTTGATGAGTAAACAGACCATGAAAGGAGGGTAGCATTCCCAACATCATTCAGCAGGAAGGTTGTAGATCTGAGAAATAAAGAGGAAAATCTCACTTTTTTGGTCTTGGAGTTTACTAAACCCACCTTGGCGCAGGGCACTTAGGCTTCCTTTTCCTTCTGCCTAGAAGCCAGCTTCTCCTGTTCGATAACGTGCTTTTAAAACCTTCATCCATCAGGTCTTTGCTCAAATGCAAGTCCTTCCCTGACCATTTAATCTAAACTGGCATCTTCTAGTCACCCCGATCTTTTTCAGTATATTTTTTTCATAAAATACTTAACATAATCTGTAACACTTGTTTCTATATTTCGTTTGCTTATTTATTGTCTGAACCTCCTCTAGAATTAAAGTTCCATGAGGCACGGATTCTCTCTTTGTTCACTGCAAAATCCCCTGTGCCTCAAGATTATTAGCAGAATAAATGAACTGGGGGGGAGAGTTAATAAATGAATTAGGGAGGAGTGTGTCTGAAACTGTGGTTCCTGCATGGTGTCAGCATCAATGGGGATCACGAGCATTTCATCATTCTTAGAAAGGCAAAGCCTTACCCTAGACCTTATGAACCAGGAACACTGGGGGTGAGGCCCAGCAGTCTGCATTTTACAACTCTCCAGGTGCTTCTGATACCTGTTCAAACTGGTTGGGCTCTGTATCTCAATCTTCAATACACAATTAAGTCACCTGGGGTATCTTCTCAGAATGCAGATTCTTGTTCAGGAGGGGTGGCTGGGGGTCAGGGAGCCTCCATTTCTCATGAACTCCAGGTGGCGCTCGTGCTGCTATCCACTCGCTTGCCAAGAATCTTTGCTGTCGTCATCTGGGGAGCTATAAAATGTACTGATGCTGGTGCTGCCCTTCCACATTCTAATTTAATTGGTCTGGAGTACAGCTGGACTGAGTCCTTTGAAAAGCTCCTCTGGCGATGCTCATGTGCAGGCGAGGCTGAGAACTGCCGCCTTCAAGGAACAGCACGTGCCTCTTCAGAGTGTCACTGCCTGCCGCAGGTGAGAGGCATTCTGATTCCTGGTCTGAAGGCATGTTTGGGCCAGGGTATTCCTATGGTTTAGGTACCGTGAGACACAAGACCTGAGTGTTTTTTGAGAACACCCAGAAAATGAAGGCTACAGGAAAGCAAACTCAAGAAGCTAGAAGCTGTGGGGGAAGTCAAAAGCCTCCGCTTACTTACCCACCCTAGATGCACAAACCCATCCACTTGGTATCAGGATTTGATGATGTTCACTCGGTGCAGATCCAGGAATACAAAAACCAGTGATGTTTTGTCCTGAAGATAAAATGTTTCAGGGATTACGTTAGCCGGCCAGGTTAATTAAAAATGACTCCGATAATTAGTTTCGTGTGTTTAGTTTCTTTGTTATTAGCTCAGGCGCTTTTCATAGAAGGGACAAAAGATCGTAAATTAAACCTCTTTTGGCTTCTCTGTCCCTCCTCTGAACTTGTGTTCTAAAAAAAGTGCATCATGCATTCAGAAGGTTGTCTAGATTTAAAATAAATCATCCTTTCAGCATACACAGCTCCAGATATGTTGGGTTATACCTTGAGAATGAAGAGACCTAAAAGTGCTGTTTTGTTTTGTCTTTTTTTCCTATTAACATGCCCAGTGGGACTTCTTTAAGAGGTTGATATTTATTAGGATGTTGCAAGAATGCTATCCAAAATGAACAATGAGAAAATAAATATAAATACCTCTCCTAATAAGATTTTAAAGAAGTCTTCCAAACAAGACACAGGAAGTGGGCTGTAACCCTGAATCACTTGTTCTGAGGTCTTGAGTGGAGCTTTTTCTCTGCTTTCTAGGCTGCAGTGAGGGTTATAAGGGTTCAGCAGGAAAAAAGCTCTGGGAGGCAAAACCATATCCTTTTTCTGGGAACCATCCCCCACCCTAGTCAAGGAGGCCAGCAAAGCAAGGACTATATTAAAGGATACTGTCCAACTTGGTCATAGTTGTTTCACAATGTAGATACCATATAAACCTGGCTAATTCCCTCTCCGAAAAATTAGAAAATTGGAATAAGGGGACACAAAGTCTGGGAGTTTTAAAGGTACTTAAATGACATCAGTGTAGAGCAGCGCTCTGCTATCAAAACTTCTCAGGTAATAGAAATGTTCCATACCTTGTATTATCCAATAGAGTAGTGCCATGTGGATAATGAGTATATGAAAGGCAGCTACAATGACTGAGAAACTGAATTTTTAATTTTACTTAATTTTAATTTAAATTAGCAATTAAATTTAAATTTAAAATTACATTTAAAATTAAATACAGTGTATGGGGCTCTGTGCTGATAGCTCAGAGCCTGGAGCCTGCTTCAGATTCTGTGTCTCCCTCTCTCTCAAAATATAAACAAACATTTACAAAAATTAAAAAAAATAAAAAATATAATATATATATTGTATTGGACAGCATAGCACTAGAGTTCAATTTTATGGCCTTTGGCTTCCAAGGAAATCTCCAGAGCCTCTTTGGGTATCTCCTTTGTCAACTTATGGTCCTTGAGCTGTTGCATCAATTTTATGAGATACCCCAGGAGCTTTTTGATAAATCCCCAATTTATTTCAACTAGCCAAAGGAGCCCTAATTAAGAGATTACATTAATGGAAAGCTTAAATACTGTTCTTTTGTAGAGGGAGTTCTGTCCATCACATTAAAACCATACAGATGTGAAGATTCTGGACCTATTCTTCTCCATGGGTATGCCCCCAAAGTAGGAAGTAAAGGTGGAATAACTCTCTACTTAACATGTCACAGGGCTACTTGCATAGGTGGAAGTGCCTCACATGGTGCATGACCTTGAGTGTTTTTTTCCACAACATGAGCTTTGGTTCCCCCCAATCATAAGGGGGGGGGGGCTTTTTAATTTCAACATTGTAACTGTTATCACATAATAGCTCATCCAGTCTTCTCAACAAGTTTGTGAGGTAGATGCCCTTACTGTCACCATCACCATCAGGACATCACTGCTATTCCTTAGCATTTAGAGATACCAAGAATCAGAGGTGAAGTCAGTTGATTCAGATCCCACTGTTAATATGCAGAGGAGGCAGAATTCACAACCCGGTCTTCTGACTCCGAATTTGACTCTTAGTCGAGAAGAACATCTGTATCTGTTTTAAAATTTTACGGACACAGAAGAAATACCGTATGTTTTAATACTTTGGAGAAAAAATGTGAAGCAAATAAAGTTCTCATTTTAAGAGAGGAGAAGAGCAAGGGTATCACTTTTTTGGGTCTGGATTTTGAGGTGTGTTCTTCAAAGTTCTGTGCTTGGAATGAAGCGTGTAATATAAAAATGGACTAAAAATTATGGGGAGATCTAGAGAATGTGCCTTAAAGGTAAGCCAGATTACTGTTCTATGTTTAATTATAGCCAATTCTTTTGGCATCTAGTATGTTCTATTCTCACTAAATCCTTACCATAGGCCAATGGGGTTAATACTAAAATTCTTAGTTTCAATATGAAGTTTTGATAAAGGTTGACTGACTTGTGCACAATCACAGAAGTTGGCCAAGATCTGCCTGACTATACAGCTCAAGTTCTAAGCGATGATTTTTTCCATGTGAATTATGAATCTTTAATAAAATTTCACCATAATGATTCACCTTGTTTTACTGGCACTGCATACATAAAAGGAGCCAGTGTCCACAATGGGTGTATCATAGGACTCCTAGGGGATTAATGTAATGGTGACAAAAACACTGGCATGAGATAGCTCAAGGTGATGTGAGCCTCAACCATACCAGCCTCTCCTAGATATTTCTTCTCTGATGTTAACATTGAAATGCTATGGCTTTTCTTAAACAGGGGACAGATAACTGCCATTACACTCGTACTAGATCCCATCTGATAGAATGTACCTTATCCTTTGTGGTAATACATAATCAAACTCACAACCAGAAAGAATAGAACTTGTGGGATGCTGAATTATTCTGACTCCTAATATTGCTATTAGATAAGATAAAGGCCGAAGAACAGTCTGTATGTGCTTATCTCCTCTAAGCATCACTGATGTATTGTATGTGCAGAATTCAAGAGGATGGATGAGAGGTTAAGTATTACATTTTCTCATTAAAGGTTACAGTAACCTATTACAAGAAGACTGTAACTTAAGGTATGTGGCTGAGGAAGAGCCTGTATTTGGACCAAAATGAGATCCCCTCCAGAAGGCTCTGATTTATCAGAGGCCTTGTGGGGCACTGTGAACATTTTTTAAACAGCCCAAGCCAGATGAGCATGTGTGAAACTCATGTTGAGGATGCATATGGGAGACTTAGGTTTCAGGTCAAGAATGACTGAAGGTTGCTCTCAGCAACAGGCTATCTTGAATATGGTTAGCCACCCACTATGGAAGTGGGATTTCAGAGGTTAATGATGACTTTATTGGTAGTCCAGTGCTGGGGATTATTGATCTGGCTCTGGTTCTATTCATCGAACCTACCATATGATCTATAATAAGGAAGTATTGGACTGAAGAGTTTCCGTCAATATTAAGAGCTGAGTTCATATGGCTTTTTTCATTTATAACTCATTACCAAGAGGGAGAGGCAGTCACAGGTGGGGTGACCAGGAATGTGGACGAACTCAGATAATGACATATTGGCAAGAATTAGAAGGCACTGTGATGATTAGCTAGAAGGAGAGATACTGATGGGGAAGAAAATAATTATTTTTTAGATTCAAACAATTATTTTTAATATTCCTACAGAGCTGATTATTCACTAATTGAAATGTTCATCTTGACACAAGATTAATGGGAGAAGCAGATTAAATGGAGATTTTACCTAGATTGAAAGTGATTTGAGGACAAAGAGCCATGTCTTTGTCATAATTGCCACGTATAGCATTATGGCAACTACTTCATCCAATGTCAACAACTGTTTGTTGACAGGAACTATACAAAGTGACTATTAGGCAAGAGACTTAATAGGAACCAGAATTGTCTGAAAATTAGAGCTGATAACCAACCGAAGAAGTCCTTATGTCACTAGATATTTATTATCAGAGTCCGGATAGCCACCTGTCAGGTGATCTGTCCACATGAAAGATGCCTAGATAGGTACTTTTCTGAGTTTCCACAGTGATATTGTTAGTAACTAACGGATACATCAGAGTATAAATCACTCATTGTATATCATCCTTGAAGCTGATTATATTATTGAAGTAAGTTTAGTATCTGAGTAGCAAGGACCCTGAAGAATGAAGGAAAACATTGGCTGGGGAGGACATAGTAGGGAAGTCTAGATCCCTGATGAAAAAATGTACCTTTATAACAAGTTGGTTCTAATATTTCCCAGAAACTTGATATCGTCCCCCCGCCGCAGCCCCCCGCAGGACCTGTTTAGCTACTCAGCCAAGGTCTTGGTGGGTTATCTTTCACTGAGTCTGGTAGGACTGAAGGACTCCCATCTCTACCAACTAGACATGATAGTTGTCATTTCTCTCATCAGGCTTTTTTCCTTCCTTGAATCGAGAGTTGAATAGGTATCTACTTACACTACACACACGTATATATCCACCTACCTGCTTGTCCATGTATCCCTTTCTCCCTCGTTCCTTGAAAGTGCATTATAGTGGGCTTCAGGTGATCTCCCATAAATTCCATGTGGCCATGGCCGAGTCATTTAACCTCTGTAAAACAAAGGTCTGATGAGTTTCCACTTGGAGTCCTTTCCATTCCAAATGTAACATTTGCATCATAGGCACAGCACAGGAAAAGTGAACATATAAAACCTATTTTCTAATTCAAGGGAACATTAGATCTGGATTTGGAGAGTCACACAAGTGATAAGGCAACAACCAAAGCCACATGACTAGGCAGAATATGATTGTGTTGAAAGAAAAGGGGGCAGTAAGTTCTGCTAAGGGTTATGAGAGGGAGGAGTCACAGGGAGGAGTTCCTGGAAAAGTTGTGTAAAAAAACAGGCTTCCTATTGATAAGAGTTAAATTGACAGAAAGAATCAAAGCAGAGGGTGTCCTCAAAATGGTGGAGGCAGCATACTGTGTATAAAGCCATGAGTATGCACGAAGGTGAAGAGCAAATAGGTGTTTTATTTTATATAAACAAAAGTTATAAAGATACTAGACATTTTCAAACCCTTTAAAAATGATTTTTTTTCATCTTCAAGAGAGAGACAGAGACAGAGCACAAGTGGGGGAGGGGCAGAGAGAGAGGGAGACCCAGAATTCCAAACAGGCTCTGAGCTGTCAGCACAGACCACGAGATCATGACCCCAGCTGAAGTCGTACGCTTAACCGACCAAGCCACCCAGGAGCCGCACAGATACTAGACATCTTTAAAGTGCCAGGTTCAGGATGTAGGGCCTCCCAATCAACATACTGGGGGGGGGGGTTGTGAAGGTTGAACAGAGCAATGCTTTACAGATAGCTTTTTGGAAAAAATAGCCTGAAAGCCTGGAGGAACATGGACTGATTGCATGGGACAGAGTTAGAAGAAAGAAACTAGACAGAGATGTCTCATTCTAAGTTCGCTATTTTTCTGCTGGAAAAAAAACCCATCAGCTTCCAATGAACTGCCTTTTATTATGACACAAAAGCCATAAAAGTAGTGATGTATATAAAAGCAGTGCAGGATGTTTTTAGTGGCTTTATGAAATAAAAACAGCAGTAGATAGTTAAAATTGGAATGCCCTGCATCAGGTTATAACCATCTGAGTTTGGAAACTTGGAACAGCAATGTAATCATATTTTTATAGCTCTAGTGTGGTCTTTTCACTCAGATAACTGAACTATGAGTGGGTGAGAAGCGAAAACCCAGCAAATCAGTGCCGTTAAATAGCAAAAGAAGAGAGCCTTTGAATTTCAGTGGCCATGCCCATTATGAGTTTGATAAAATAATCAGTTTCCTGAAACCAGAAATATGTATACTATGAATAAAGTTAAGATTGATACTTGGGAAATCAAGTTCTTTAACAAAATAATGTAATTGGTAGGAAGCTACCATACCAAGTGCTATGACATCTGTGACTTCATTGTGTACCTATCACAATTCTGAGAAGGATGGTTTCCACAAATTCATAGATGTGAACGCTAAGGTTCAGAAGAGCTGACACATTTGCCCATGGTCCCACAGTTGAGACAGGGTATCCCTGGATCAATCCCAAGATGGATTGTAAGCCTCATGTTTGCCGATGCCATGTGAAAATTTTCACAAACTTCACTCATCTGTGAAGATTCAGTGTCTTTCTGAAGTTGCCACTGTGGCTTTTAGACTGGAATGTTTCATTTGGTCACTGTGGCTGTGAAAATCCTGCTCAGGTCTTTTAGAAAAGAATCCTTCTTATTCATTAGCAAAGTTATCTGTATAGAGTCTTTTGTTTGCTAGGGATGGAAGCAGATCTCTCTAGAGGTTATACAATCAACAGAAGAGTTGTTTGCTCAAGACAAATGATTTGCTTGGTGTAGTATGTTGTTATGGCAGAAATGTGGACATTCATGGGTAATACACTGAATGATTTAGGTGATCAAGATTTTCTTTGATTTTGCCCCCGAGTCCACCCCAGTGTGGGGTTAGTAAAATGGTATACTAAGTTAAAAAAAAAAAAAAGTATCATTTTAAGGAATGAAGGAAAGATGAGGCATCTGAATATTTAAGATACTTTCACAACTAACTTGTATTACCCTCATGGCCCAAGGGAGAATATGAGGTCTGGAGTGGTCATGCCATGGTCCATGAAAAGCAGCTCACATATTGAAAACTAGGTCAGGCTAACTGTTAAATCTATACTTAAATGGCCTCATTAAACCCTTTCTGTTAGAAGTTCTTCTAGTTGCACATATTACAAAGAAGGTTTTGACTCAGTAGCATTCAATGCTATTTCTTCATGTGTTATGTAAATAGAGAAAATAACACTTCATGTCAATCACCATTTTGGAATAACTTCAGGAAGCTATGAGAAATAAAGAGGGAAATATGAGAATAGATGGGTTGAGATTGAAATTATAGGCTCTATGGTCAGTCAGGGTTTGCCTCTTTCCTCCTTTATTTCTGTTTGAATGATACTTTCATCTACTTGTAAGAGGACTGTGAGAATAGAATGACATTATGTGTGTGAGCTGCTCAGCTCTGTGCTTGGTGCCTACCAGAGGTCAAATCACAATAGGTGTAACAGTAATCCCTATATTGTGTTATGTATTGAATACTTATGTTCCAGGAATTGTCCTAAGTGACTTATGCACATTAATTCATTCAGTCCTCACTATCACCCCTTGAGGTGTAGGTATTATCATCTCTTGCGTGAGGGTGAAGTAATGGAGGTACGCAGATGGTCTCACAGCCATTAAGGGTGGATCCAGTGGTAGGACTCCACAGCCCATAATCATAACTACTATGCTGTATGGAGCCTCTAGTAGTTACAGAAGACCACGGTGGGAGAGGAAGTGCCCAGTTCCACAGTGAGAGTCCAAATCTGGAAGCCACTGGAAGCCAAGCCAGGGAATGCTTTGGGGCATACAGGAGGGGCTGCATCCCAATGAAAGCATCAAGCACAGTTTTTAGATGTAGGGTTTAAGATAGGTACAGGGGAAAAGACAGGGAAACATTCAGGTAACAGGCCTATAAAAAGAATAATTTAAGCTCTATTACAGATATTTGTTGAGTAACCTCTCAATCATTGGGTTGTGGCCAACCTGACTTCCCATCAACCGCACAGCATGATGCTGGTGTAGAGTTCAGATGGATCTGCCTCAAGTTCAGCTCTGCTGCTCATGAGCTGTGGATTCCACTTCTCTGACAGGCAGTCAGTCAGTAAATGCAGTTATCCTACCTCACGATGTTGCCTTGATTCTAAATGAGATGCCATAAATAACGTGACAACATAGTGACTGTCTATAGGAGGGTTTCAGTAAGTGTTGGCTGCCAGAAAAGGTCTGTGCCTTGGGTTACAAGTGAGACCTGAGTTTACCCAGCCAAGAAGGTCTGCCCATAATGCATGCCACTATCAATCATGATTTGCAATTCTTGCTCTGCACAGCTTGTAAGTATCTAGACCCATGTTAAGTTCATCTAGAAGACACATCCTACATTACCTTTGGAGATTTCCTTTATCTCTGTTTGTCTAAAATTCTTACAATTCCTATCATGGAAGAGTGTGTTTAGTTTTTTGGAAGGGCACGTTTTCATGAGAACTGCCTTTAGGTACCTTTGGAAAGGCTCTACGATACCACTTCTCACCTGCTTATGTGACAAGAGGCACCCCAGTAGAGTTGCTAGATAAATGCATATGTATTAAATGCATATGTAACTGGGTATCTTGCATGTAAGTATAAATAACATATTTTGGATATACTTCCAAAATTAGTTGTTTATCTGTAATGCAAATATAACTGGGTATCATATTATCATTTGCTATGTCTGATAGCCCTACTCTTAAGGTTCAGGGAGCTCCTTAGGGGTGGAATATCAGTTTTAAAATCAGATATGGGGGTTCAAATCCTCATTCGGTCACTTATTGGTTGTATAACCTTTCACTCTGAGGTAAAAAGTCCTTATGTTAACCAGGATAATTACAGATGAAGACACTCAGAGTCACTAAAAAGGTAGGGTGAAATTACATAGGCCAATATGCTTAGTACACCTCCCAGAGCATAATACAAGTGCCACATCTGTTAAAGTAACTTTCTGTGCTGTTAAAGCACTTTACAAACAGTGCTATTCCCTAAAACTGTACAGACTCATTTTTACTATTTTTTAATCCAGGGCCATACAATGGATAGGTGGCAAATTTGAGATCGTAACTCAAGTGTTCAAATTCCTACTCCAGAGTTTTCTCTGATGTCCCACTCTCTCTCCAGAAGGCTCTCTCACATGAATAATTGTCCCCAGTTAATGGGAGGAAGATTCAAAATGAAATTGATACCCACAGTTTGCAGTGTGGTCCATTGCCATGGCTTAGAGTCCTTAAGAGCAGGATTCTTCAGGAAAGCATTTTTAGCTTTTAGGATTTTGTTTCTAAGGATGGAAAATTCATTTTAGGAGAAGGAATGCAGGGTATAGTGTTGTTGGAGCCAGGATCAGTCTCACCCAGCATGTGAGCTACAATAGCACCAGTCACTACTCAGGAACCATGGATACTCTCATGCTTGGTATTTAATATATGAACTCAAGGTATGTTACGCCTGGTTACAAAGGAGGATGTTGAAGGTTGGTGGAGTTATGTGATCTTTTCCCCAATCACACAGCTTGTAAGTAGCAGAGCTAGGATCCAAACTCAAGCATGACTTACACCAAAAGCCACTTTTTAATACTGCCCAAGGCTACTTCTGCTTGCTTTTCTAGTTTTTCTGAGCAACGATAAAGAAACAAAGCATCTGGTTCATGAACCAAGAACATGCCTCTATGGACCTCCCTCCTTACCCTTACCCCCAACCCTTAAAAGGGGAGAAACAGGGACTTGTGAAATTTCCACAGTTCCCTTAGGGACAGCAGCCAGGAATGCTTCATGGCTAGATGCACAATGCCTCAAGTACTCAGAATTTCAGTTCCTCAGCCACAAAAGCCATTCATTGCCACCACGGGCCCAATATAGCTGGTCCCTTGTTCTAAGCCTGAGAAATTCTCTCGGTATCTTACTTCTCAGGGAGAAGGGCCATGCCAGGCCCTGGAGGTACT